GGCTGAACAGATGCATGAAGAATAAAACTGAAAATTGGAATCTAGCTTCAACTCTTTCTTAATCTCCAGAAGACCTTCTAATTCTGGACGTAAAAGAAGTTCATCTACATAGTTTGGCCTTATCACTTGATTTTCCTACAGAAGTACTCACAATAAATAGAAAATACTGCTGTTTTAGTCTGCTGTCTTTTTTAGAAAGACACTAGTTGTAATAATAGTTAATTTGTAGAATGCAGGGACTTATATCCTTGTCTCTTCTAAAGCCAGAGTAATACAATTTAACCCTCAGAACCAAAAGTTCTTAGGGCTCTGTTGCAGCAAAGGAAATTTAGGTTAGATATTAGAGAAAGCTTTCTCACTAGGAGGGTAGTAAAACATTGGAACAGGTTACCCAGGGAGGTGGTGGGATCTCCATCCTTGAAGGTTTTTAAGACCCAGCTAGTGGAATTACATAGTTGGGGACAGTCCTGCTTTGAGCAAGCGGTTGGACTAGATGACCTCCTGAGGTCCCTTACGACCCTAATTTTCTGTGATTCTATGATTCTATGATTTATCTGTGCTGACCTTTAAAATGTATTCTTATCAGAGCATCATCTATAGGAATCTTGCAAGTAGTGACCCTAATCAAGCTCCAAAATTCAGCCACACAAACTGGTCCATAATAAAATTTAAAAGATCCCTGGCTTCTTCTTAAAGGATTGTCCATTTAGCAGTTGAGACATAAAAAAAAGAATTAGTTTCCACAAAGTGGCTCATCTCTTATCTTTCAAAGAAGCACAGTTAGCAACCATCCTTTATCCCCAGGTTTTAGATCATGGTTGCTTTCATATCATACCTTATAGTAAGATATATTTTATCTTCTGGTTGTCTGTGTTTAACTTTGTAGAAACATTCCTGAAATTCTGAACATCCTTCTCTCAGATTGTTGAAAATTTGGGAAAGTTTTTTTTTTTTTTTTTTGCATCACCACGAGAAAAAAAGGCAGCTAATATCCCCAAGGATACATGTAGGTTGACACCAATAAACAGTATTTCTGCAGTATTCTTTGCTTCATTTCCTGGAAGTATGTAACATGGTTTCCAATCATCTGACCCAACTTGCTTCCAATTTTCTCTTTCTTTCACATATTTGGGTGAGAAATCCAGCAGTGTTTCCAAAATACAGAAGAAAAATCAAGGCAGATCCTGCAATACCTGTGCAGACTCAGGGTGATCTGTGTGCACCATGTAGCTGTTTCTCAGGCTCCAGCAGCATAATGGCTGGGCTTTCCTGGTGCTTTACCATCTCTTTCCAGGGATTTGACCCTCTTGACTAGTTATTTTCTATGGTTGGCTGTTTGATTCCTGTTTCATGGTCCACTGCTTTTGCTCCTGTTTCCCTTCTACTCTTAATAGCTATCTTCTTCCCAGGTTTTTTGCCATTGCTTCCTCCCATCTGTAAATAAAAGCTAGGTACAGACATTCAAAAAGCCCAAGGCAAAATCAATCTAAGTTCTGCGGTTTTCTGTAAGTGGCATAGTTGAAATCAATAGTGAACACAGCACACATTCGCCCTTTGGTAGGGTGTGCAAATCTTAGACAAGGTTCTGCCATTTTTACCAGTCTATGCATGCCAAAATTATGTTTTGTTATGGGTATAGACCAGTTTTATGTGCCAAACTTTTGTTCTGTTACAGGTATAGACCTTATACTGGTAAAAGTGTAATGTCTGTACCTGGCCAAACTGGGGCTTCGGAACCTTTTGACCAACTCCCTCCCTCCCTTCACCAGCCATTAAAGCAGGGATGGGCAAAATATGGCCCACAGGCTGGATCCGGCCCACCAAGCCATTCTATCTAGCCTGCGGGGCTCATAAAAAAAATTTAATTAATATTTCTCTGCCCCTGGCTGCCTGTCAAAGATGACAGGAGCCAGTGGCAGCAGGACCCAGGGGAAGCTGGTAGCAGGACCCAGCAGCAGCAGTAGCAAGGCCCACTGGCCTCACCCCACACCCAGCCCCCAGGCCCCCGCCTTCCACCCCCAGCCTGCCAGATGGTTCTGCCTTAGCCTTAGCAGAAGCTTCCTGCCTGGGAGCCTGGGGCTGTTCCCTCCACTGAAGAGGGAAATTCCAGTAAGAACAGGTGGAGGGTAGGGAGGATTGCCAGTGCAGCTGACAACCATGTGATACTCCTGCTGCATTGTGCAGTCCCAGCCTTGCAGCCAGAAGCACGTGGTGCCAGAGTTGCGGGTGCAGAGTGGTGGGGATGGGCAGGGAGGGAAGGAAAGTGGTGGGGCAAAGGCAGCTGGCGAAGGCGTGGAGAGGAAGTGGCAGCAGGCAGGAGTGCAGGGCACCGGGGGTCAGGGCCAGAAGCAGCAGGAGCCATCTGGGAACCACGGGGCTAGCCAGGCTCCTGCTGTGTTCTGTGGTTTCAACATTGCAGCCAGGAACAGCACACTTCTGGGAGGTGCCTGGCCCTGCTGCACCACACCACTTGATTCCTGGCTACAATGCCAGGATCACAGAACACAGCAGAAGCCAGCCTGGTCCCCATGGTTCCCAGCTTGCTCCTGCTGCTGCCTCTACCATGGCATGCCTGCAGCTCCTGCACTGGCAGCAGGGAAAGCCCACTGCCTCCCCGGCCCCTTGCTGCGCAGAACCCCAGACTCCACCCAGAGTGGAGGGAGCCCTGTCCCCTGCTTCCCTGAGGCAGTCCAGTGTGGGACTGGACTGGACTCCCTCGTCCAGTGTGGGGCTTCCACATGCGAGGGCAGGATCTGCAGGCATGCACCAAGGAGCCTCCATGATAGAGGTGGACGGGCAGGCTGTGTTCTTCACCCCCACATGCAGTGCTCCCCAGAGCCATGCCCCACTAGTCATCAGTGCCTGTGCCAGGCACAAGTGCCTACACCAAGCACAAGCTCCCCTGAGCCCCCCACACCCCTCTCCAACTGCTGCTGCTGCCAGCAGCAGGGGCTGTGTGCTATGTTGGAGGGAGTGTGGGGAGGACCCTGCACCCCACAAATCTCACACACCCACACCCTGTCTCCACAGCTCCCACCAACATATACACACACCCAACATACCTTGTGCCTCCCACATCCCCCCACCATATACACACCCCACACACAATATGAGTGAGACTTCATTTTTGAATTATTATGCAATCCCTTCTATATACAGTACACAAACACAAATCATGACAAATATTTTTTGTCATGATTTGTTTATAATCATGACAAATCATGATTATATTTCATTATATCATGATGAAATATAATCATGATATCCCCAAGGACACATGTAGGTTGACACCAATAAACAGTATTGTTGAAATACTGTTTATTGGTGTCAACCTACATGTGTCCTTGGGGAATCATTGTTTATATAATGATTATATGTCATTATATAAACAAATATAAATATAATTATATTTGTTTATAAAATGAAAATATATTATAGTAGGTGTTTGACTTCTAGTGTATGATTTGTTTTTTTCTGGTTCTAAGATGGCAATCCCCCTCCCAAAAAGAATATTTCTGGGGGATTCAAGGGCAGGGGGGATTTCTGGTGGCAAAGGTATGGGGTTAAGTGGTGGGACTTCCAATCCCAATATGGCGACTAGGGGGGCTTGACAACTGTCAAGGGGCATAGCTACCTCACCAAAACTTATTAAGCGGTCCTCCACCCAAAATAATTGCCCGCCCCTGCATTAAGGCATAGAATTTTTAGGCAAAGCTGTCCTCCCCTCAATCCTGATGGTTGTTTCCAGTGGTATGGAACTTAATTTTGTTGAAGTTACCCCTGCAGTCTAGCAAAGGGCACTTAAATGTATTCTAGTCAGTTTACTTTGCTACAACATTATTTCCAACTGTTGTAATATGGTCACTGTGTGCCAACAAGATTCTCTTTTATCTGGAGGGAATCATTGTGTTTCCACTTTTTTCCCCAACTGTGTTTAGAATGTCTCCTTTACCAAGAGAGTTGTTCCTACTCCCTAAACACCTTTACTGGTAAGTTAACTTTTAAAAATTGAAGAAAAAAGTGTATTAAACAATATTTAAATTATTCCATTATTTGTTGTTATATTAAATAAATAACCCTTATTCATAAAGTTATTAGTTACTTACAAGAGATAGTTATAATAGTAAAGTCTTTTGACTGCTTACATACTTTTAGAAGTTATGTGCTTACTTGTATGCTGGCTGTTAGCTTTTGCAATTTGTAAATTCTTCAGGTCATAGGCTGTTTTAATGGAAAACATATTTTTGGCATTACAAAAATACAGCTATAAATAATAACTTGTTCTGTACTATCAACATGAATCAACAAAATGACTGATTTCTATTAAGGAAGAGCTTGTAATCAATATTAATAGTGGTGGTAACTAACACCTTTTGAGAGAGAGGAATGTAGTTTTTCTCGTGTCTATCGCCATAGACACTAAGCTACATAAAAGCAAGCAGAATATCTCAGTAGAAAGCTGACAGAATGAAATGAATGTTGCAACCTTCCATAAAGATAGTGAGAAAGTGCTCAGCATAATCTGGGGGCTAAATGAAATACTAATGCTTTATAGAGTTTGTCTCAGTCTTGCAAGAACCACTTTTACAATGATAGCCTTATTGAGTTGCAGATTATGCTCTGTCTTCTCAGAGGGCCAAATTTACAGTCTATATACCCGAGCTTCTGATTTTAATGATAATTTAATAAGGATTTTGCTCACATATCTGGAAAAAGAATTTAGTTGTGCATTATTCATTGACTCGTGTGTATTTGATTGTGCTTAACTAGAAAATGATGAATCACATAAATTCTGATTGTTTATATTGACATGTATTTGATATTGTTCAGTAACCAGTATCCTAAAGCTCCATCAAGAATTTCCTCAAAATAAGATGAAATCTCTGTTTGAGGTTTTGCTTTTAGTTTAATTTAATGGGGGGGGTTGGTTTTTAAAAACACCTAGATTATTATGAATTCATTTCTAAACTATTTTTAAAATGTTAAAAATGTACTTTCAGATGCGGAAGGAACTGGAAAAAAGTATCAGGAAAGAACTTGACCAAGGTAATTTATCAGAACATGTGGCAGGGTTTCCCCGCCTCCCTCAATAAGGCTAAAATTGATTGTTAACTAACACTGCATGATATCCTAAAGCATAAATCATATTAGGTAGTAAACTGTTGTGCCAAAAACAGTTGTTGCTTTTACTGACTTTCAAATTTAGTGGTGCTTTTTGGCAAGAACTGCCTGCTTTCCAAAATGCTGTACAAATAAACTGCCTTGAAAGCTAGCTTAACCCAAGTCAGATTTGCTAAATAAAAAATATAAACAATCAAAATATAGGAAATTATTATTTAAGTATAAATGAGCTTTAAAAATCACCTCCCCTCTCATATGTTTCATTCAATATTATTGCATGTGATTTGGTATTTTCTGCTAGTATAATAGTGCATGTCTGATATAATACCCCCTAGTGGGCTACTCTCTTTGTTTTGTAAATATAAAGTCACTTATTTGTTAGGCATAAATAATATTGGTCATTGAGGCTAGGGACAGACATTCAAAAAGCCAGAGCCTAAACTGGTTCAACCTTTGCAAGTTAGTCTAACCCGGCTAGGCTGAACCAGTTTGCAACTGCACGGACATGCAAGCACATGCCTGCATTTGCTCAGGCCAGGAGCCACCCTCAGCTGCAGGGAAGCTATGCTGGAGGGGCATGGCCAGGCTGGGCTGAACTGGACAGAGGGGGGTTTCATTCCCCCTTCCTTATCCCACCAGCAGGGACCTAAGCCAGGTCTGCCAGGTGCACCCCTCTCACTGCTGCAACTTTGGGCCAGCACGGGCCCTGACACACAGGGGGCAGAGAGGGTGGTTATTCTCCCCTCTACCCTTGCTGCCCCCGAGGGACTGCAGCTGGGTAGGCCCAACCCCACTGCTGCCAAGCGGCAGAATAAGCCCCATCCCATCCCCTTTGCCCAACACCAGAGGGAGAGGGAATAACGCCCCCCCCCGCCCCCAAAAAAAGGGCCCTGCTGGCTGGCATCTGGTCCCTAGGTTGGAGCTGGATGGGGACCAGGCTTCCCAGGCCAGGTTGGAAGTGGCATCAGGCCCTGAACCCACAGCACCACCTGCCCTGTGGAGCCCCCTGGGCTGCAGCCTAACAAGCAGCTGCAGGCTGGCTGGGGTGGGGGGCTGGTCTGCCCCCCTCATCTGCAGCTGCTGCTGCCACCACCGTGCCATGCCGCTGGGGTGGGGGGGCGGGAAGCTTCTGCCCCACGCGTGGCGCTTCAGCTGCAGCCCCCGGATGGCCTTGGAAGGCAGAAGTTTCCTGGGTGGAAGGCTTCAATCCAGGAGCTGCAGCTGGAGCTCCACACATGGGGCACAAGCTGCAAGGCTGAAGCTCTCCCCCCCAACCCATGCTGCCACCTCCTGGAGCGGCTCAGGAGCAGCAGGAACAGGACGGGGAGTCGCTGCGGCAGGTGAGGGGAAGCTGGCTTGGCCCGGCAGGACTTTCTCCCCTGACCTCCAGGTTTGGCTCCTGCCACATCCCTCAGCACTGCTCAGAACTGGGGGAGCTCCCATCAGCCTGGTGAAGGAGCTGGCAGCCTGGAGTCCAGCAGCCACCCACTACAGGGGCTGGTTATAGCCTTATGAGCCCACACAGCACCTCTAAGCCATTCTGGCTAGCAGCCACCAGCCATGTACCAGGCCAGGCCAGGCTACGCTCGCTGAAAGGGATCAATGTCCCTGTTACGGAGCCGCAGCTGCCGGGGGTGTCCCCACTCCAGCGGCCCGGCCCAGCCCAGCCCAGCCAGACCGAGCAGCTGTGAGAGAGCAGCTGTACTGAACCTGTAGCTGCTGGGACTGGCCCCACCCCCGCAGCCTGGCCTGGCCAAACCATGCAGTTGCCTCAGCTGGGGCTGAGTGAGGCCAATCCAGGCTGAGGGGGCGGGGCCACCCCCAGCAGCTGCATCTCCATTACAGCTGTTTCCCATGCCCTGGCTGAGCTGAGCCAGGCCACGGAGTGCCATAAAGAGCCCCCCACCACCACGAAGCACTCTGTTCAGTGCTCGGGGTACTCTTCCCCCTCCTCCTTCCTCTGCCCCCACAGGGCAGGAGGCTATGTGGTGCTCCCCAGCCCAGCCTGGCTCAGCCAAGGCACAGGGAGCAGCTGTGATAGAGCCACAGCTGCCAGGGGTAGCCCTGCCCCCATGGTCTGGACCAGTTTTGGCCATTTTTAAACTGGTTTATGTGCTCTGAATGTCTGTTCTGTTACAAGTTTAAACCAGTTTCTGGTCACTTAAACCAATTTATGTGTAATGTTTGTCCCTAGCCTGAGAAATCTTGATAATCGCTTCTTCTATGCCTATTTAATTGAACAAAACATTGTTTGAGTGCTTGTAATGTATAGCATAGAACAGTCACCATATTTCACAGTGTACAAGTTGAGGTTTAAAGCCCAAACACTGAGCCTTAAATTTCCACCTCCATCTATACACCAAATCCAGGGCCCGGCCCAGCTTGGCCAGCACACAAGTTCCAGGCAGGGCTGCTGCTGCCACTGCTGCAGCCACTGGGCTACTTGGCTTCCCCAGCATCCAGTGGCTCCTTGTCTCCCTGCTGCAGTGCTCTGGGGATCAGGTAGGGAAGTGGTGGGGAAGGGGAGCTGTAGTGCAGAGCATGGGGCTGAGGCTGGTGGGAGCATAAAGCAATGTGCTCAGGTGGGCAGGGTGTTGGTGTGGGGGAAGGTGAAGGCATGTGGAGACCCCCACACACTCCCCCTCCATGGTACACTGGCCAGCAGGCGGCGGGCACTTTTGGCTCATGTAGGCACTGCCACCCTGCGGTGTGCCGTCCTGCCAGCACTTGCGCATCACCGGTGGAAGCCATGCATGCTGGAGCCAGCTGTCTTCCCCACCCGCTGCCTGTGCATGGTGGTGAGGAGTGCAACCTGCTCAGCCCACCTCTATCGCATTATTCACAGGGGCCAGGGCTGGGGCCGGGCTCAGCGCTCAGCTAGCATGGCCCAACCAGCACCGTCCCTGGCCTCTGTGAGCAGCACTGCCTGGGCCATGCCACCCGAGCACTGAGCACTGAGCCCAGCCCCAGCCCCTGCGAGTGGGGCTGCCTGGGCTGCACCAGCTGAGTGCCAAGCCCAGCCCTGGCCCCTGTGAGCGATGCTGCCAGGGCCACACCAGCTAAGCACCAAGCCCAGCCCCAGCCCCTCCTAGCACTAAGCCTGACCCTGGCCACAGCCCTAGCCCTGGCCCCAGCCCCTCCAATGGCACTGGTCTCAGACATGTCCACCTCCCAAGTGTCCTGCCTGTAGTGAGGGCATGCAGGGGCTGATATAAGTCAACCCCATATTTCTGATCCAAAAAGTTAGTAACCCAATACACCTACAAAAATCCTAACTTTTTTAATCAGGAAAATGGGGTCAGCTTATAAACCAGATCAACTTGTACACTGTGAAATATGGTACTTAGCTGGAAAACTGTAATCTAATCTGTGGCCATGTTCTCCAATTAATAATTTATTCTCCTGAGTGGCAACTATCCTCACCAATCCACTACCTCACAGTGACAGAGCCTATTTCAAAGCAATGTAATCACTTAAGCATGCATCAGCATTCTATAACCAAAAATGGAAATCCCCCATTTACCTGTTTTAGGGGGGGTTTCCCCACTTTCCTGAATGGACATGAACCCATTTGTTTCCATGCCTCAGGATTTGTTTCTATCTTTTTAAAATAAGAATTTGTCTAGTACTAATAGTTTCATTTTCTGTGTTGGTTGGACTTTGCCTGGTCAGTGAAGAGAGGTTTCTAACACAGGCTGCATATACATGTTCAAATGATCTCGGAGAATTCTTCCAGGTTTGTTCTCCTGGAAAAAAAACTTACCCAGAGATGCTTGAATAGACATTTGAATCCTGAGCCCTTGAAGAGCAAAGAGCTTGCAGTGCTGATGCTGCATGATCAGGGAGGGCCCTGTGCAAACATCTTGGCATGCTCTGCAGGTTCCCTTAGTCTTCCTAGCAACAGATGGCAGCAGTGAACAGGGCAGCCCTGAATGGCTGAAGCAGACTGCTCAGAGTCAACCTGTGTCTTCTAGCAGCACAGTGTGGGATTGAGAAGGGGGCATGTTCTACTCCCTGCTTGGTTGGAGCAGCTGAGTCTAGAGAGTGACAGTCTCCCTGGGGGGAGAGGAGTGATATCAAAGCACCCTGAGATGTTGGAGGACTGTGCCAAGACTTCTCTGAGGAAACATGTACAGACAGTTGCTCTCTCAAGAGAAGTAATTCTTGGAATGTTTTAACCTGGTTGTTCCCAGGTTATATTTCTCCTGGACTGGCCAGAAAAATCCTGAACATCTGCACACTTATGGTTTCTCCTGGTAGAGCAGCAATTCTTCCAGGAAAAATGGAATGTCTTCACATGGCTTCAGAGTTATCTTCATGGAGGAAAGGCCACTGTAGTTGCAGGAGGATCTTGCAAGTGTGTGTGCACATGCACCCACATTCGCAGCAAGGGCCAGATTATTACCTCCATTAGGGGTGTTAGTGGACTTTGGCAAATCATTGCAATTCTGTTCCACCTGGCTGGAGTCCCTGGTGAGTACTCCTCCTCCTCGCTACTTTTCTGTGACTCCGTCTTAAGAGCGTGGTGGTAGTTGTTACAAAAGTAGATGCATTAATGCATTTCCAAGGGCTTGAGTAGGGTGGAATACAACCACACTAGGTGCCTAAGTGGGAGGGGGGACATACATTTGAAGCAGCTTCAAAAGGGGAGGGGAAACTGCTGTTCAGGAGCAGCTGCTACTTTGGTACATAAGAATGACATAGCACTGATTACAAGTGGCCTAAATCACCCCAACTTTGACACTAGAAGAAGTTCATTTATGTGCCTAATGGCTTTTAAAAGTTGAAGGTAGTCCTTAAGACCAGGTAGGCAAAATACAGCCCACAAGCCAGTTCCAGCCCACCACCTGATGGGATCTGGCCCACGGACAGGTGCTCACCAACTGATTGCATCTGGCCCACAGCTGCCCCCAATGCTCTGCCCGGGACAGCCCATGCCACACTCCCACTGGACAGTCGCAGGCCTGGCTGTTCCTGCTGCACTGCAGCTGCCATACTGTTCGGCTCCCTCTACCACCAGTGGTTGCCCCTTCTCCTTCTTCCCCTGCCGCACTGTTCTGGGCATCAAGTAGGGCAGGGAAGTGGCAGTGGGAGGGGTGGGAAGCTGCAGCTGAGCAAGTCCTGCCTCAGTGCACAGGGCTTCAGCTTCTGGCCACCTTCTACCCACTCCGCCCACCTGGTGCAATGAGCAGCCAGTTTTGGGCAGCCGAGTGAATGCGAGGCATCCCCATCAGGAAGCTGTGTGCACTGGTTGGGGCTGGGCCTGGGGTTGGTACCAGTGGGAGCACAGCACGGGCTGCCCTGGGTGCCCAGAGCCGGTGCTGGTTGGGCCATGCCAGCCAAGTGCTGAGTCTGGCCCCAGCCCCAGCCCAGCTCCATGCAGAGCACCGCAGGGACAGCCACAGGCGAGATGGAGGGGGTGCATACTGCACCTGTACCTACACCACCCAGGTGAGCTCTGCTGCACGTGCCCCCTGCACTCCCCCCACCCCCAGCTAGCTCCCCACACACGCAACCTTGGAAATACTATTAATCTGCTTGCTAACCAGTAAATAAACTAACTTGTATAATTTAAAAGCATCAGGTATTTGGCCTTTGTGAATGTCCTGCTTATGTCACTTTTTAAATAATGTTTCTTTTATTCTGATCTGAAATATACATCTGCCTCAGGACCCAGTACAGATGCTCACCAAATGATTCAATAGATATTGGACAAAGTCTATTCACTACAGAATTAACATATGGCATGACGCAAAATGTGCAGAATCATGTTTTTTCTCTTTGGTTTTGTTTTCCCAGCCAATGCTGATCTCGAAGCTGGATCCGTAAGAGTCTCTCCTGTGGGATCTACTGATGGATCTTCAAGCAACTTAAATATAAATAAGGATCCAGTTTCCAGGGCAACACAGCAGTATCTAGAGATGTTAAAGAAAAATTATATCATCTGAACAAAATACAATGCAAGTTTGTGAAAATGACATTTTTTTCCCTAACATTTTAATGTTTTTCTATTAAATGGTATAGATGGAAAACCTTTATTACAATTTAAATATGAGCTATAAATGTATTACATGAATATGAGGTACATTGCACTTGTCTCTATCAGAACACTGCATAAATTTAGTTTATTTTACATTTATTATGAAAAGCCATACCTGTTTTCATTTATAACTAGCATAGCAAATTCAGACCAGTGTTCTTGAGTATCAGAGAACTGCCCAAATATGGACATATGAACAATTTATTATGGGGCAAAAGCCATCAGGGCTTTACCATGTGTCAGCTCCTCTACAGTGACTCCCTGTGTCCATGTTCTTACCTCATAATAAGAGGAAATTGGAACAGCTTAGTCCTCAATGAAAGAGGGATATAAGTTGTTGCAGTAGATGAAAGCTAAACTGCAAGCTTACAGTTTAGCTTTCACTAGGTGCATCTATATGCACAATTAATGTGCCTGAATTTACTGCACAATAAATTCAGGCTCATTAAACTGTTCCCAAGCATGTGTACAAGCGCGCTCATGTCAGAAACAAATTGAGCCCGACAGGACCAGCTTAGTCCAGGGCTGCTCCTGCCCTAGTCTTCCCCACTTCAGCAGCCAAGGGGAGCTCCAGGCTCCAGCTGCAGCTGCCTGGATGCCAGCCCAGGGGCATGGGGTCAGCCCCAGACTGGCAGGGGGAGCAGCCTGGAGCTGGCAGGGGGCATGGGGGCAGCCTCATGCTGGGAGGGGGCATGGGAGGGGCAGCCTCAGGGGGTCAGGCTTAGGCTTTGGGTGCTGGCATCAGGTAGCACGCACCTGCTGGGGTGGGGCACAGTACCTGTGAGGCAGTCTCAGACTGGCAGGAATCCCAGGGGTTAGAGCTGGAGTCCAGGTTGCAGCTGCCAGGGACCCTGGGAGGCAGAGCCAGGGTCTGGAGGGCTGCATCACCTGGCATGTGCCTGCAGCTGTGAGGCACAGTGCCCAGGGGGCATGCAGCAGCTGGCAGGGGTCCTGGGGGTCAGTCCAGGGGTCCTGGGGCCAGCATCAGGTATCTGAAGAGCTGCCCATGCCACATGGCTGGAAAAGGTACCGAGCCACATGGCTCAGCACCAAACAGGAGGCTGGCCCCCTGCTGATGTGGCTGACTGGGTGCAAACTGTGCTTGATGTCACTGTCTATATGTGTGTTGAGGGGCACTGGTTTAAAGTGCCATTTGTTAGTACCTGTATCTGTTGGTACTAGTAAATGGCACTTTAAATTAATCTAATGAGTAGTAATTGCTGTGCACATGTAGACAGTGATGCTTTACTGTGTGTTAGTTTAGTTTAATGCTCAATAAAGTACACATGAAGACGCATCCACTTTATGGTAAATCTCTACCCTTTTGCTATGTAATACATTATTTGTATGTCCATTCCCTGAGTTGTAACAACACATGTACTGAGTTTTGTCCTATTTTGTCCCTGTTCTGCAATCCTGACACAGGAAAACTCCTAAGGATTCATGGAAGTTTTACCTATATTAGAGAGAGAGAACTGAACAATTTGCATTGCTGTCACATTTATTCCAGTTACTATTTAAGTTTTAAAATTCTATACATCTAGGATAGTGCCAAGAATTGTGTAGTGTGAGTTGTATATGGTACATGAACTTGTCAGTATAACACAGTGAATTTTTAAGTAAATAATACTGCTACCCAAGGCATTCTGATCACCATTATTTCACATTTACCTCTCTTTTCTATAGATGAATAGAGTAATTAATAGATATTGCGTTGTGCTTATCTCCAGGTTTCTCACTATGTTCCAAAGCTGATGCAATAAGATAAGCAAGGTTTTTCATTATTACTAAAATCAGATGATATCCTGGGCTTTTTTGTATCACAAACCTTCTACCCCCACAGCCACCAGCACAGGAAAGCTATCAGATCATGTCCTCCCTCACTTGGCTTACAGGCTCTGCCTGGCTTCACTACAGCAGCAGCTGCTGGCAAAGCATGTAGTGTATCCTGGGAGGCACAATCTGTTAAGGAGGCCATATCTCCCAAAAGAGAGCATGGGCACAACTACACACACTTTCTGGCAGCTTCCCTGTAATGACAGAAAGAGCCTTCTGTCACTTGCAGACCACAGCATGCATTCCTCTGGTCTGCAAGAATCAGCTCAGAACAAATATTCTGCCACAGCAAGGGAGCTGGAAGTGTGGGTTCACTCAGTTTTACCAGCAGAACCTGACTTCTGCTGGCAAAACTGTGTACCATAGACCAAATCCTCAGATATAAATCTGGTAAACCACAGTCTTACTAGAATCCCTACTTCAGTGACCCAGACAGCTTTCCTTTTTTCAGAGAATCATATGCTGTTGCAGAAATCATATATTTAAACATGTCTTTTTAAAAGTCGCTAATATTGTTCAGAAGATTCTGAAACAGAAATGAGCAGGGCTCAAACGTCTTGCCCTCCACTTAAAAGTCCAAGAACTAAGCTAATGTACCATGATGAAAACATGCGCTGCCATGCACCTCCACCCCTTTTTAAGGAATAAAGCAGTTTTGTATAGTTGGCGTACTGTATTAAGTTGTAAAAAAAATTACAACTTTCTATTTAATAAATTTTAAAATAAAATATGTATCTCTTGATTTCGTTTCATCGTTTCCTTTCTAGACTTCATTTTTTTCTTCGTCTTTTTGTGTCTGTGTACCCTTTTCCTTCTTTACCCTTCCTGTGTTCTCCCTCCTCCTCTACAGCAGATCTCACATGTAGTACTTTGTCCTCCTTTCTCTCTCTTCTTCAGTCTGATGATAGCTAACTTCATACTTATCATTTTCTGATGCCCTCCATTCTGGCTGTTATAAGCACAATGTAGAGTGACCCCACCCAGGTTCTAGTAACTCAGACAAAGTTCCCAATCATCCTGAGCAGGTTGGTTTCTGAACCCTCATGCATAATATACTAAGGAAATATTAGGACATATCTTCAGCTAGTATAAATTAGAATGGACCCATTGACCATTTCAACTACACCTATTTACTTCATCTCACAATCTGGATCATTATCTGCTAGTTCAAGTGACCTCAGCAAAGACTTCCAAAAAATGCATGCTCCTAAATAAGTGAGCTGATTTTTTTCAAAGAACTGGTTGGAATTTTCTGAAATAAATTTTCATTAAAAACCCCTGTTTCATTCAGCCTTAACATTTCATTCATAACATCTCAGATTCAACTAATTTGTGGATTCCAAGACAAGATTTCTATAGTACTATGTTGAGATCTCTCACAGACTGCTCCAGGACCAGAAACAGCATTTTCTAGGTCTGAAGTTCTTGCATCTACCCCAGAGCCAGGGACACTGGAAGCTCAAAGTCCTCAACCCTGGAGCATCCCACCTGGTGGTCTGCAGTGCTAAGGCATATCCACCAGAAGGAGTTTTTCACAGCAGGGTCTATGACTGGCATGGGAAACCAGACCAGAGCTCTACACCTTGCTTTCATGGAGTTGGTCTTTCAGGTTTCTAAGAAGCATATCCATCTGTCTAATGAACTTTGCAGAGGCTGGGAACCATTTTTTACTTCAGAGATGGCATGTTTCAGTGTTTCTAAGAAATTTTTCAAATAAAAAAATCTTGGTTTTGGTCCAAATAAGAAAAACAATTCCTTAACAAATAGGATTCTCATGAACTGAGATGTCTGTTGTTTGGACAGTTCTAGTGTTTGTATATTCAGCAGCTCTCACTGAAGTAAACGTGTACCATATTTGCAAGAGAAAATGCAACAATAAAAAAAACAAACCCAGCACCACAAACCTGCCGTTCATGTCTCACCAAAATGTTCCTGTTGTGAAACTGGGCACCCTAAAGGCTATCTGTTACAACACTAACAGGTTTTCTGTAACCCAACGATACAAAAATGTCCTACTATCAACTCCTAAATTTCACAGTGATCATAACCTACTGTGTACCAACATGAATTGTTCCTGGTTCCACAAAAAGAGACACAGATCTAGCCCTTAGTAAATAATATTTGGTGTCAAACTTTGGTATAATTTTCAGCCATGATTAGTTTAGACTAGAGGATATTTTGCTATGCTGTCTTGGCATTCGGCATCCAGGATATCAGTTGGTCATCCAAGCTCAGAACCTCTTCTCTTCTTTCACATGCATAGAAAGGAGATGCCTGTAGCTTGTTTCATCTCTTTCCATACCAGCTCCCAGGGTTCAGCTTCTGCTTCTACTTCTGTGTCTTCCTCTCCTGGCAAGCTAGTCTACAATGCTCTCCCTCCAAACCCAGCTGCCTATTTACATGGAATACTGCAATGTAATGCAGTTAACAAGAGGCAGCTGCAGATAGGTCACAGCAGGGCAGGTAAAAGAAAACAATGACAGGTGCCTGGCCACAGCAGACTGATAAATACTACAGCAGAACTGCTGACTTTCCTGGTGTCTTGGGGAAACTGCCAACTTACTAGTCACAGAAGTGCAGTTGCCGAGAGGAATGGTACAGGTCATACTTCTCAGCTCTAATAATCAGGATCTCTTCATATAGAGGCAGATGGTGCTGCATACACTTATGCTTGGTTCACATCTTGAGGTTTTCTTTGTAACTATGTGTCTTAGGAAGATTTTTTTTAATGAAAACAGGTTCTGAAGCCTAGTTCTGAGACAAGAGGATCCTTAATAGACCCAATTCTAATGTCTACCATGACCTAAACTCTATCTGGCACAGACCATCCTTCTGCAGATATAAATTAAATACAAATACATTTTACTTCTGAGAACGCATTTTTCTTTTGAAAGCCAGTATATGTGCAAGGAATGTCTGAAAGTTGTGGACATGACAACCCCAATGGACAAGACATAGCAGAAGGAAATGAGAAATAAAGCACATTATGAATGTATTAGGGGATTGTTAATCATTACAATTTCCTTATAATACAAAATATTACAAGCAAGCAAAGGAGTTTGTATGTTTTACTGCACAGCACCTGCCTATTAGGTGTTATCATTAACATGTAATATGTCTCACTTGCAGAATTCAGAGGCAATACAGCATTGTTGCTGTAGGCACCAGTATTAAGGTCAGGCTACCAGATTATGCCCCTAGCACTAGGCTGTCAGCAATTCAGCTTTTCCCAGCCTGTTTTAGAACTTTAATTCTTATTGGCTTTTGTGCAGTGATGCCTTCACTTCAGTATCTAGTTCTTCTCTCACCCTTGTAAAGCAAAGAATTACTAGACTATTAAGGCCATAGCCCTCTAGCTTCTCCAGTATGAAGTGGGCTCCTTCTGCTTCTCACCACAGCAGTAGAGAAGACTGGCTGGTATTGAACCAGGACAAGGAGCTACTAGCAAACATACTATCAACTGCCTGACAGGATAAATTATGCCCTGCTGCTGCTCCTTGTGTTGCTAAAGCATAGATTTTAAGTAGGATCAACCTATAGGCTTATTCCAAAGCCCCAACTTTGACACTGGGGTCTTGAGCAGGAACATAAAGATTCCCCTGGAGAAAAGAAGCCCTCATAGCCCTCAGAAGTCTTGTGACCTCTCAAGGTCACATCAGGAGAAAGCAAGCATCACTTTGGCAAGGGAACAAGTAATTTTGTTAATGAGCAAGTGTTGTGAAAGAAGGTAAGTGAAAAGTCCTTTTCCCAGTTCAAATTACTTCGGATTTACTGAGCAAAGCCCTGAGTAGTACTAGCTAACTCTTGAATACCTAACAGCTTGAAAACCAAGGGAAATGGGAGAGGGAGATAGAGGAGCAGGCAGGTATCCTTCCAGGCACCTGAAACTATCTAGCAATCAAGCAGGGTGGGCAATATTTTTCTATTTGAAGGAAAATTCCACATGATCAGGCATTTAAAAAAATCCATCCATTTTTGCCTTATTCAAAATACTGCACTGCATTTTGTCCAAAGAACAAGGATGCTCCCTCATTGTTATTCATCCGCAGAATTTGACTTGAGGGATCAATTAAAGCTCATTCAAGTAGGGCTGCTGTAGTGATAGTAGTTAGACCAGTCAGTCCTGACTCTTGAGGTTTGCAGGCATCTGCTAACAATTCATTCCAGAACTCTACAACTGTTACTGCTTCAGTGGCACTTTACATAGAGAATCTAAATTAGGCTTATACGCACACCCAGGGTCAATTCCCAACTGACCTCCTCCTCCTTCCTTACCCTCATCTCTGTCTCTCTTACCTATAGCCACATTTGTCATGCTACATTTATATATAAATTGCCTGTTGTAAAATGTAATATTAGCTTAAAAAAACAATGCTATTGCCTTTTTATTGCTTGTTGGCAGAGAGAGGTGAAAATTCCAGACACTGGTTGCTGGAACAGAAGAGCTAAAAATCAGCTTTAGCACTAGCCTTGGCAATGGGAAATTTGTATCTAGTGCTGCCATGAGGGTAACAAAACTACTCAACCCATGGTTTCCAGTTCATCCTTTTCTTGTGTGCCAATGAAAAATACATCAAGGCTGAATGCTCTGGAATTGCTACCTATTAGCAATAGTTTGATAGCTCAACCTGCTCTGAAAATGGTACCATTTATAGGTTAAGCAGAAAAACAAAGCGTGCCAATACCTGTCTATTCTCAAAACAGTTCATTGCACCCGTTAACTTTGTGTATCCTGCACCACCTCTAGCAAATGTTTGCATAAAGGATTCCAGTTCATAATTATATGTGAAACTATATGAACCAGCCACAGATCATAAAAGTAGGTTCATACTCTGCCATTAAAGCCAATACACGTATGTTAGCTGCCTCTCTTAGATATTATACTTACATTAGACTTATAATCCTGTTTTCTTGGAGCTGGATGACTGACGGAAGAGGATTAGAAGTCATACCACATGGACCTAAGTAAGGAGTGGAGATCGAACTGAGGATCAGCATCAACCAGTATTTTTATAGAATGAGAGTTTCATGTAAAATAGCCAATGTTTCAGACACGCATCTTTCTTCCTCCTTGCTGTGCATAGGTCTGAGAAGCTAATTGACCCATGCAGCCTCTGTGGTTTTTAAAGGCTAGCACCAGCACCTTGCTTTCCTCCTCCTAGGTTTAAAATGTAAATGTGCTTAAACCCCAGCACTCCGTTAAAATGTTGTAAAAAGTGTTCAGGCATTTACTTCAATCCCTCAGCACATCTGAGTTAATCCAGATCCTCTTGTATGAAATTCAACCAGAGGCAGTGGGCCACACAAAACTTCCCACCCCGGCAACTGTTCTCACAGTGCTGGTCAAGCTGATCCAGATCTGATCCACTTTTTTCATGGATAGACAATGCTTCAGATTAATGAGATACATTAATTTTATGCAAATTAGGCTCAGATAAAAGTTGAAGCAGTCTATTTACCTCAAAGTTGTCTGATGGCAAGCAGGACGTTGAATTATGCTTGCATAAAATGAACTTTTCCAACCAGGAAATCTTATACCACCTTTCAGCTCTCCTGAGAAATATACATTTTCAGTTCTACCCATGAGAAATTTTACAATCTTTGCACACTCCTATGCCTGAGAAAGGGTGTGTGCCCGAAAGCTTGCAAATAAAGAATTTTTTTTTGTGACTATCTAGTTGGTCTAAAAGATATCAACCTCTATCAAGAGTTCTGATTGGCTTTGCCTGTAGACCAACATAACTACAACCTGTATCCATGCAAATAGATGCATTTCAGCATATAATTGCATACCATCCAACAGTCAATGCTAATTAAGTTTTCACACCTTGTCACCCACCTTTACATGTTAAATTGTGATGTTCTCAACTGTAACTCACCCGTAATCTTAATTACCAGTTGCTGCTGACCTGAACCACTTAGCAAAGACAAACACTAAATAATCTTTCTACTGACATAAATATTCTCCATTATACCTGGTACTATTCAGGCAGCTTTTCCACTTCTGCTTTTTCATTTTGGTATATATTGACCAAAAAAACTGCTTAGTTTTCTATACCCTTCTTCATGTCAGTCATAAAACATGTTTCTTTAAATAAGGATTTGCTAGATCTGAAGTAGAAATGGTGAGAAAAGACAGTGTGTGTATTTATTAATGTGCAGACAGAAGACTAATGTCTTTTATTTATCACGATATATTCAACACAATGTGAGATTCGATATTGCTTTGTTCACCTGCTTCATTTCTATTTTGACCAGAATGTAATTCACTACTGTGTTTTAAGTGTCCAGACTCTGCTGCTACTGTCAGCAAAATTCCCACAGAAAGCAATGCTTCTTGTTATGCAGAGTTCTGTTCACTGTGAATTTTGTCAGTCTAAGCAATTCATTTTACACAAGCTATTATTGAGCTATCACATAGTAATGGCTTTCAACAATGTCTGCTCTGCTTTTTTAGAAAGACACAGAGGGTCTTGAGAACCATATTACTGTAAACTTGAACGAGCAGTATTCCTTTTACCGGGATTCAAACCACTGACTCTGGAATGAAAAAGTTCCAAATCCTACTAAGTATTTCCAAACTTGTATTTTGAGATGACTGTCCGGCACGAAATAAACTATTGATTTCACAGGACTACATACCAGACTTTTTGTGTAGTTCTGCCTCCTTGGCTGTCAAAGAGTGCTCAGTGTATTTTAAGAACTCATCATTTGTGCTTCAGTTATTTCTAGCATTTAGAAAAAGGCCACACTATATGTATGCGGAACCCTTGTTTTCGATATATACAAATCTCATTTCTTCCACTTGGAAAAGGCGACTTCCAAATGCTTTTCTAACAAGTTGATTTACTTCTGTGTAAATTCCTCATATTTTAAAGTAGTTTATATGAAGGATAATTTGATGTCCTCAATACATTATTATAATGCTTCACAGACACACAATTCATTCTTTTCCCACTAAAGTTTAATGTGCAAAAGGGACCAGTTGAATTGGGGAGGGGAGAAGCAGGGAATAATTTATTCTGGACTTGTCTCATTTTCTACCCGAATAAAGTGTCTTGCATTTGAAACCAAACTATACAGTTGGCCCAAAAATTTATCACTCTAAGAAATTCCACCTGAATACACTTTTTGCTTTCTTTTGGTTCCTCTAGCAGACATATTCAGATGCACATACTTTCTTTTGTCACTTCCATATTTTTAAAGCATTTTTCACAACAAAGGTGAATTGAAATAATCAGTACTAAGGCTGTGTGCATCATTGCTGGAATGATTAAAAAAGCTTGTGATTACTAGAACATAAAAAGTCTCATTAACTTGATACAGGAGTTTTCTACCAAAGGACTACTTCAAGAATTTTTTCTATAGTAGTCAGTTAACTGGGATGCCAATAATTGAATTTCATTTCTCTTACTGTAAGAGGAACTGCATTTGTCCAACAAGTGCTACCATTTGTAAAATACATTTGTTCATAAAGGGTAAATGATATATAGTTATGCAATCTATACTCGATTATGATTAATTAGGATACAGCACAACTTTAATCACCTTTAAGAGCAGTGATTTGTTTCTATTTAGAGTGCAAGAGCCATACCTGCATACAAGACTGAAATGTTAGTATTCATGTTGGTACTTTATATACAATCCTTAATTATGACTCCCCAAATTAGTTCATGACTATCATAAAATGTAGAAAATTTAATTTATGTCAAACCACAACACATTCATAATAAAAAAGCATAGACCAAGTTATTACATAGTTGTAATAACTTGTATTACAAAAATTCTTCATGCTGTTCTTTAAATAGTCCTGTACAGCCAAAGATTTACAAAGTCCTTGTGCACCATGTGCTTTTATTCTTCAGTGTACAACTGAGTTCAAAGGTTCTGCACGAATATTTCCAAGATCAAGTGCTGAATCTGTCTCCTCATCAATTTCACCAATGACAGCACTAGAAGTAAGAAAAAAAATTAAATTGTACCATAAAAGGAAACCTGGACAAGTATGAACAGGTTCATGTAAATACAAAACTATAACAGTAAGTTGCAAACATACTTTAAATGTAATTACCCATTTTTCTACTTTATTGAAGGTGACATCAGAAGAGATGACTCTATACATTTCTAAAAGCCAACCAGATCTTTATTGTATGATAAAAATAGACTAAATTGATGCTTAAAAAACAATTTGTTTTCCATACTTACTAATTTTCCATTTTGCTGACAACAGTCACAGCAAAGACTACTTACTCTATGTCAAAGTTAACATAGGTTAGATAGGCAGTAGGTTTTGCCTTTGATGAAAAATCAAGCGGTCTTGGGCTACCAATTTGACATCTTACATTACACTTAAAACCATTCAACTCTGACGAGTGATTTAGAAAAAAAATAAGCAGTACTTACACATTATCTCCTCTGACAATGTATAAACCCAACACTACTTGTTCAACTCCTTGTGAAGAACTGAATACGCGTTCATGGCTTTCATCCAAAATCAAGTTAATGGTTTGATCAAAACCTTTGAGAGTTCCCTGTATACAAAAATAAAATATCGTGTCTTTAAACAAGCTCTCCAGAATAACCCAGGCAGCCAGAGAGTCTACAGAATAGATGCTGTATTTAGATTTGTTTCCTTTTACATTTTAAGAGCAAGTATAGTTGAAGACTGAAACTTAAAGGAAAGTCATTATATTTAAGAACATGCATATTTTATTTCTAATATTTAAATTAACATTGTAGTGACTGTAATATGAAAGGAAAAATTCAGTTTCTGCTGTGCATTTGACAGCACTTTACATAGCTGATTTCACTATTTTTGCTTTATTATTAATCTTCCCTGTTTATGTGGAACACTCACATATCAAAAAGGAACAACAAACCAATCTAAAAGATGATAAAAGAAAACCATACAGTATCTCAAAGTATTTCTGTAGATCAGTGATCTTAATGAAGGTAAATTTAATTCAGTAAGTGAAAGAATATTCAAAAAGGAGCAATTTCCAAGCTCACTAAAAAGTTAAATAGTTTTAGGACGTCTCATCAGAAGCTGAATGCTGTACAGTTAAAAAAATAATACCACATGAACAGGAAAAAAACCCTACTTATACCAGCTGTACTTCATAAAAGCTGTTATCTCAAGCAACTGACTCAGGCTGGACATGCACATAAAAAGTAAAATGCAGAACTTTATTGTGCATCAGCTGCTTTGTGTGCATGCTCTTACCCCGTGGTAAGCAGAAACTAACCCATAATAATTTAGTTTCAATGGAAGAGAAATGAGTTACCACAGGTTAGCCACCACTTACTACATGTATTATACAAACAGGCAGTTACTGTAGAGCTGTGATGTTCAGCCTTCCTGCCCCACAAGCCAGATAAGTGGCATGGAGCTGCTCTGTGTACCACATCCCATGCAAGTGGTCAGTCCTCTGGCCTGATCCAGCAAGGGACTGATCTGCAGGTAAATCCAGCTGTAAAGTAACCCCTGGCGTGCTAGTTCAATCCAGCCCACAAGGCTCCCCATGGCTCTGGAAATTTGACAGGACAGAAGAAACAGTTAACGCTGCTGCTGTTCCCCTGCCACCACATTTCCGGACCTCAGGGGACACCCACAGACAGGATGATATGGCCACATGGGCTGGATCTCACCTGTTGGCCAGAAGTTGAGCACTACTGCTATAAAGTATCTGATGCACAGTACTGTCAATAACTCTTAAATTATTTTAGTAGAGAAGAAAATCAATCAGAATCAGGGTCTGTATGGGCTTTGTACACACACATACCCCCACCCCCAAGGAGCATCCAGCCTAAGGGCATGGGAAAACAAAAACCAAAGTAGCTATGAGAGGAAAACATAGCTAAACAGGAAGTGGCACAGAACCTGACAGTTCTCAGCAATGTACAGCTTGAGTCTTGAAAGTGCATTTGAAGGATGGGGAACAGGCTTGGCAAAATAAGGGCATGAGTTGTAATGGTAGAAAGTACTCCAAGCCAATCACATTTGGCTTCCTCATAAGTGAAGATGTTCAATAATAAGGTTTCAGACTATGGCTTTATACAAAATAATCAGGATGCTGTACTGAACCAGGAAATAAAGAGTTATTAGCATATCACTGACAGCATATAATCTCTTTTTTTACATTTACAAGCAAGAAAACTCATAAAAGTTTGTTGATTAGTCACATGTGCTTAAATTAGCAGAAACATTTCTAATAGTTTCTACTAAGAAAATAAATCGAGGTACTTCAAAAATGTTAAAATGGCTGCCACACTGCAATGCCTGGCAGAAAGCTGAAAACAATGTTCTCTAAATTTGGATAACATTTTGTGCAAGTTATATGACAGATGCTTGGCATATCAATTTCAGTGACGAATAACACTATCATATTGCATCATTTTGAAAGCAAACCAACTAGACCTTTAGTTTATCACACCTCAAATTTGTCTTAGTTCATTACAAGAGACTGAATTTCAGGAGAAAAAAAGCTAACAGTCAAGCTAAATACTGAACTTTTAAGAAACAGAACGCAAATAGAAACTTTGAGTCTTGGACTGGTTTAATGATAATCATAATGCTTAAATACAGAATTTGGTAGAGTAAGTTCCTTCTCACTATAAATGGGAACGGATGCTACAATATATACAGTACATACCAGAATTCCGCAGGCCAACTTTATGAGAAGCCAAGAGAAAATATTTGCTTTTACAAGTTTATCAGAAGAGGGGAATTAACAGGCTAAAAAGTGCTAAACCCTCAGGTAATAAGGCACAGCACACAAGCTGCAATAATGAAAGGGATCTCTTCCAATAAACTATATTCAATCACTCTTGCTCGTATCACACTCAACTCTATTATTGAGGCTTTTATTACGAGAGCGATGGAGGATGGAACAGAGGGGCTGAAGCCACTTTTCAACTTGCGAGCACAGTTATACAGCCTCTTTTACCTTCAGCTCATCATTATTTAACTTTTAACAGATTGTGTTTGTGGTGTTTCTTTCATATCTTATGTTAGATAAGAAAATGTGTCAGGTGTATTGTCATGAACTTCTGTAACATACACCAAAGGAGCAGGCTATAAACCCTGGCCCCTCTACATTTAGAGTTGGGGCACAGCCCTTCATAAAATGAACAGATAGAAGTAGACAGGCTTTGTGGCCCCTAGTGCAATGTGCGACTCTAGAACAGAAATGGGTCTTTATAACTTGCTGCATCTTGTGAACTCCTTCAATTGCTGCCACCTGGTGTATGCTTCCTGCTACTGTCAACCCCACTTAATATCACATGCTTTTGGTGGTCCTGCGCACAGTCAGGGTTTGACTGTTGACATTTACATCCTAAGTGCTGCCTGTTGGATTGCTAAAGACTCGTGAGGAGACGCAACATGATGTTGAGAAGAAGAAATGTCTCACCACTATCATCCTTCCATCCGAGGTAATTACAGCAACAGTGCCTAGCAGGCCCATTAAGGAAACACTTAAAAAAATCCAATACATTGCATACATAATGCCCCCTCCTTCCAAATATTTGGCCTTGAAACCATGCAAAGCCATTTCATGTTCCAAACTAGAGGTGTCAAACTCATCTACTCCCATGGGCAGGATGAGGGCTGCTGGGCCTGTCTGCTGGAGGGCTCAGGCCAGGCCAGAGCTTGTGCACAGCGCCCCCCTGCCACGGCCCCCACGCAGCAGCACACGCCTGCCACGGCCCCCACGCAGCAGCACATGCCCCACTCCGGGGCTGGCCTGGCACATGGTGTGTGGGGGGCTGGCAAGAGTCGTGTACTGCTAGCAGCCCTATCAGCCTGACCCTGGGGCTGGTCCAGACAGGGCCCCAAGCTGCCTGTGTGGGTGCGGCAGGCAGCACAGGCCCCGCGGGCAGCTCAGCCCGGCTGTGTGCAAGGTGTGAGACCCGCTAGTCGGGTCACAGAGCCCCAGCCCGCGCGGCCCTGTGCTGGGCCCCGCTCGAGAGGATGCAGGAGGCGGGCGGGCCGCGAGCGCCGCAGCCTGCTCCGGATGGGGGCTCCGAGCGCGGGCCCGCTGCCTCCAGGGCCCGGCTGCCCCGCGTCCCGCACGCACCCGCCTGCTCCACCCCCCAACATGACGCCACACGAGCGAGGCCCGGAGGGATACGGTTGATGTAGTTCTCCAAGGCGGACGTCATGGCGGCGGCTCCCCCCGCCCGCGCCCCGGCTACGGGATCCCGCGAGACAGCCCGCGGCGAATGACTTCCGGTGACGGAAGGAAGCGCGGCGCTCTGGGAACGGAGCTGACGCCAACTGTGCTCTGTTCTCGCGACACTGGGCGCGTTGGAGGACCGGGGTTGGGGGGGGAGGGGGAAGGTTTTGAATACGCATGCGCTGAAACGAACCTGCGCCTCGGCAAGAAAGCGCGGGGGTGTTACTGCGCATGCGTGATCCCGGGGAATTGGCTGCGCTGTGCCGCACTGGGTTTTCCCTCCTGCCAGAGGCTGGTGCTGACGTCAAGTGTCCGCGTGCGGGTGGGGACTTCTGTCTTCCAACGGTTTCAGCGGCTTTAATGAAAGATACCGGATTTACCCAGAGCCTTGTCTGCTTATGTCCTCAGACCGACACAGCTACAACCTACACCCCTGAAATTATTTTATTGGAAGCCCAAAATTATCGTATTTGCTGAAAAACTATTGTACACTGAAACAGTATGCAAATAAGTCTTCTTTCTTACTTTCTATTGTTCACTGGATCCCCCGTGAATGAGTGAGAACTGGGTCATCAAAGTTGAAGCATCTCTTTATTTTGAGGCAAGCAGTAATATGAAAGTACTGAAAGCAAAACCAAAAGTTGGTAAGACTCCCTGAGAGTGACTTACCTTTTGCATACACTGCTTCAATTAGCTTTCTCAAAAATGACTGTACATTTTGAACCATTTTTATTATTACTGATCATACATCGTAGGAGAGTTGAAATTATCATACACCTGGCAACAGTATTTGGGCCCCTTCAGACGTCTAGGGAAAGGTGTGATGGGATCTGATGTGTGAGCCACACAGTCGCCAGGCAAGAGGTGTGTCTGGGACCCAGCATCCGGTCCACTCGCACCCTATTGCCAGTCACACCTTAGCGCCATCCAGTGGCGACACATAGGGGGTGCATGGGGATGCATGTGCACCCCCTGAGAGTGCTGGTGCAGTGCACGGGACACTGCCACGGCAGTGTGTGGGGCACCCCCTCAGCTGGGAGGCCTGGGAGCTGTGGGACTCTCAGCTGAGAAGGCATAGCTGTCATGCAGTATTCCCCACTACATGCACCCTCCTGCTTCCTCAGGGGCTGCTCCGCCATGGGAACACTTTCATGACTGCAGAAGGAAAGGTACAAAACAATGAGGGGAAATGTTATGACACAATGTCTTCACCTACTGGGGGTGTAGTCTTAAAACCTGCTGAAGGTCAGCACCTACACCCTTTTCTTCAAAGAAATAAGCTCATCTCCTGCCTCAAGCTCTAACTTTATAGAGGGAAGGATGTTTTTATGGAGTGATAGTTGCTTTACACCTGTAGCCGGTCTAAATGAATTGCACAATTAACCAGTCAGTTGCATAATATGTGTAATGTAGATAGGGCCCTTCAACATTGCAATTGCATAGTTACTTCTTAACTTTTTAGTACTTGTTTATGTAAGCATTAAAGCTGGATTCTTCTGTTTTGCACTAGTATTATTGCCATACCCTTCAGTTAAGGCCTTACTGGATAAATAGAGCTAATTTGATGCAAATTAAACAGCTTTGTCTAACTCCCATTTATGGTAGTTTGGGGTCCTCCCTTTTTCAGACAGTGATGAAAATGATTAAAATGACAGTGACGAGTATTTCTTTTATTGAATTTCATAACTACTTAAGGGAGAGAGGGAAAAAAACCATAGATGTACAAGGAGGTCCTGGCACTTCAGTAGTAGGTGAGAAACTTGTTCTTCTAAAATCAGAGGGCCTGTTATGTTCTCCTTCCAATCAGAAACATGGGAAAAGATGCCAGTCTGTACTGCACAAATATACTTGCAGCCTGAGCTTTATATAATGCTCAGCCTCTTAAAGCTCTTATTATAAAAAGCTTAAGAGCTGCCACTAAACCTTAGACAAGGATTGGAATTAATTATAATGTGTTACAGTTAAGAAGCTAAAGGCATTTTTGTGTCATGACATTTCCCTCTCTGTTTTTGTACCTGTCGTTCTTCCCAATAAAAATAATTTTTTTGAGACGGCCAAGAATTAAGGGCCCTGTAGGAGTCAGAATCCCATGAGATTTCCATTGGGAAGAATGTACATGGCCCACAATGCCACAGTATACTAACACCTAGAAATCTTTCATGTACTTTTATCCTAACAAAAATCTGTAACAGCAGTTGGTAGCCTGCTTAGGCTATAGGCCAGTGATCCAGTTGGGACCGAGGTGCCACCACTGCTTTTCCCCATGACAGGGAAAGCAACTACTGCTAATGCTCCACAGCCACAAGCTGGATCAAATGACCCACAGGCTGGATGTGGCCTGCAGGCCATAGACTGCTGAGCCATGTCCTATAAGGTAGGCAAGAATTATTAACCTAGTTTTGCAAAATGGGGACTACACTAATACGGACCAGAGCCCATATAGAACATAGGCTGCAGTACCTAATTCATAGGAGCCTGGTCCCCATACCTTTATGGGGAAGTACATGGGCTCCATGTGAATAACAAGGGGAGAGATAGGCAGCTCAAAAGAGGTATTACAATACAGATGCCATACGCAGTAACCTAGAGCTTCCCAATAGGAAAAGATGAGAACAGGAGCAAGTATTAAATCTTAGTCCTCCGGTGTCTTCATCCACTCAGATGCATAGTCCTAAAACCTGCTGAAGGTCAACACTTACGTCCTTTCCTTCAAAGGACTAAGCTCATCTCCTGTCTCTCAGGACTGTACCCAAACAACAGACCATAGGCTATTCTGGGAATAGAAGGGCACCATCCCTCATGCTGATGTGCAGAAAAATAATTGAGGATCCATTGGGCCAGAAATGGGAGTACAGAAAGGGAGCAAGACTCTGGCCTCGTAGTTTAGACATACACCTGCAGTGAGTCCAGGTTTACCAGGTTCCTTTTTCCAGGACTATTTCTGTATCTTCTTAATATAAAATATAGAAACAGCCCTGGGCTCTGGTTCTCCAAGGCTGGCAGATGGTCCTCTGGGGCTAGAACCAGCAGTGTAGCACTGTAGCAGAAAGCCCCCTTTTCCTCTTGCTTGCAGTTGCTCTCCCCTCTTTGAATAAGTTTGTCCTCTTCTACCTTTTCTTCCTTCCTCTTTCTTTCACTTTAAGATAAGGAATTGTTTTTTAAAATTTGTATGTGTGCATTTTGTATCTCCCCGTGTATTTTGGTATTTTTATCTATTTGTGTGCCATGGCATTTGTAGCTTATATTTTATACTCCTCACCTTTCAACTTTCAACTATAAATGTGTTTAGTAACAATGTTAACAAGGGCAGGAGTCAAACTTTGGCTTCCCTGTATCAGGCTGGCCCCTGAAGGAGGGAGTGAATCAGTGATTGAATGTGTAACATGGAAGCAGGCAGCAATTAACACCTGGGAAACTGCAGATCAACCAACGGAAGAAATCAATAGAAGCCAATGTAACAACCGGGAAATCTCTAAACCTCACTGTTCAAGGGCTAGAAGCCCTGGCCTGAGTTAATCAACGCCGGGGACCAACTTTTGGGCTGAATATCTCCAAATCGACCGCTCCCAGAGCCCTATTCAAAATTCATCAATGGACTTCCAAACCTGCACGTACATGCGGACAACCCCTGGGGCTGACAGATGCCATCCAGTAGCCACCAAGGGGGGAAGTCCCATGAGGGTCAATGACCCCTGGATTGGGAAAACCTGAAAACTGGGAATCACCAAAGTCTGCCAAGGACAGATAAAAAGCAGTGAAAAGTGACCCTCAGGGGCGCCCTCTTGATCTCCCACTTGACCAGCACCCGACCTGTCCAGCCGGAAGGACCAGCCGGCAACCCCCTTCTTGAAGATAACACCATGCTGAAAGAAGCCTCGACTGGCCATCGACGGCAGACTCCAGCGCTTGTAGGATAGGTATACCTGACTCTTGTAGCTTGCTACTGTGTGTGTGCATGTGTGTGTGTGGAAGGACCAGCCCCAAGGTTTATGATTTAACTCATTACAGTGTTTCAATCCGCCTAATAAACCAGAATTTTAAGGATCCTGAGTTGGACATTTGTAGCCAACAGCACCAGCCTCAGGACAGGAGCTGCAATTGATTCACTTTGCTCCTCCTGTTCCTAGGAAGATACTGAATGACTGCATAGACATACAGTTGCCATCAAGCTCTTATATTACTAACAAATAAATTATTTTAATAATCCCTTTGTTTTATGCTGTCATGCATATATTTACTTGCTCATTGTGCTTACCTTCATTTGAGTAAAGGCTACATTTACATGTAAATATTATTTATTAATCAGTGTTTTAAAAACAAAAATACTTGAAGTTCCCTTCTTGATTAAAAATATGGATGCCTAAAGGTGGGATTTCCAGAACATTCACTTGCCCTACCTGCTTATCAGCAATCTGAGGTTGCCATGGGGACAGCTGTTGTGACCTTTAGCAGGATATACAACCAATATAGCAGCTAAACATCCCCCTGGGGCTGTGTCTGCAGTCATGAGTAAGCTTCACTCTCCTGCTTCCTCATGGGCTGTTTGGCCATGGGAATACTGTCATGACTGCTGATAGGGCTGACCAAGTCATCTGTAAGTGGGCCAGCAAGCACATACCCCAGAGACTTGTGAGCCTTGTGGCTGGCTTAAAGCTTCAGAGCTGAGCAAATGAGAAGCTCTGTTATTATGGTGATTGTGTATTGCTTATTAAATTTACAATTCCCACAGTATGCTGGCCTCTGCTCTGGTGTTATCAGGGACTATTTCCCTTTTGGGCACATACTAATGGAGAATGACATTCATTCTTACTGCATGGCTAGTGATGACTATTGGTTAAACCCATAAAGTCCTTTAAGGAGCAGAGAGTTATGATAGAAACATACGTGCCAGTAGGATTAAACATATTTTTAAATCTCTCAAGGGTGCGATGAGTGGCCTGACCCCATGATATTGTCAAATTCTGATTTTCCTATCAAACCAAAAAGTGAAACTTGAGGTAGAGTGATACTGATCTTCTATTTATTAGATATATA